ACAATCGAAAGCCTTTGCGTAGTCAATAAAGCACAGGTAAACATCTTTCTGATATTCTCTGCTTTCAGCCAAGATCCATTGGACATCAGCAATGATATCTCTCATTCCACGGCCTCTTCTGAATCCGGCTTGAACCTCTGGAAGTTCTCTGTCAATGTATGATTGTAGCCGTTTCTATATTACCTTTAATAAAACTTTACTCGCATGGGATATCAAAGAGATCGACCAAATATTTCCACATTTCATTGGGTCACCTCTCTTTGGAAGGGGCACAAATCCAGATATCTTCCAATCAGTTGGCCAGATAGTTGTCTTCCAAATTTCTTGGCAGAGATGAGTGAGCGCCTCCTGTGCCACCTCACTTTCTTGAAATATTTCAATTTTTATTCCATCAATTCCTGGTGCCTTGTTCTTTGCCAATTCCTTCACTACACCTTGGACTTCCTCATTCAGTATCATTGGCTCTTGATCATATGCTATCTCTTGAAACAGTTGAACATCAACCATTTCCTTTTGGTACAGTGACTCTGTGTATTCCTTCCATCTTCACTTGATGCTTTCTGCATCATTCAATGATTTGCCCAGAGAATCTTTCAATAACGAAAGTCCAGGCTTGAATTTTTTCTTCAGTTCCCCCAGCTTGAGAAATGCTGAGCATGTTCTTCCTTTTTGATTTTCTGATTCCAGATCTTTGCACATTTTGCTGTAATGTTTGGCTTTATCTTCTTGAGCTGATCTCTGAAATTTTCTGTTCAGCTCTTGGACTTCCTCATTTTAGCATCTCTACACTGGAGAGCAAGTTTCAATGTCTCTTCTGACATCCACTTTGACCTTCTCAATGACTTTTTGCTTTCTTCGTGTATGACGTTCTTGATGTCATCCCACAACTCTTCTGGTCTTCGGCCTTTAGTGTTTAATGTTATCAAATCTGTTCTTCGGATGATCTCTAAATTCAGGTGGGATATATTCAAAGTCATATTTTGGCTCTCATGGACTTGTTTTCATTTTCTTC